TTCCTGAGAAGGTGCGAAAACCAGAATCTGAAACATAGGTGGACAAAGTAGCCACAGATAAAAAGGAGAGGAAAAGTAGAAAAGGAAGAGCAGAAAGAGGCCAAATTAAATGACCTTTAAGGTCTCTTCTCACTCTGGAATCCCATGACAATTTCTTTTGTGTGGGACATTTGCATGCATGCATATATCTACGCAAACGTATTCAAATATTCTGGGAGAAATAGTCAAGCACATCCTGATCCCCTCATGACGCAGTTAATATCCCGGGGTTTATGACCAATGTAATCTCTGGGCAGGATCCATCCCCCAACCCCCCTCCCAGCGCATAGCTCAACGCATACCGCAATACAGCACAGAACCACCAGCCCATCTCCCCTCGCCAAAACCACACTACGCCGCGATCTCAGAGGCCAGGGGTGCACGTGAAATATAAAACCCCGAAACTACAACACAGACTGCTGCATTCGAAGCGACTGTCATTCATAAGAGCAAAAGGCGACACGCCAAATCCCCAGGCCAAACTAAAGGCATTCCGGCGCGATCCGACAGTGACAGGTCCCCCGAGAGCCGGGCGTTCACGCTAAGTCACGGGCACTTCCTCCTCCTTTCCCGAGACCTTTCATTGTCAAGAACCAGAAATTGGTTCCCGAGGATCCTTCCCACAGCCCTCACCCAAACGCAGCGGACGGATCCTTCGCAGTTTATTCCAGAGGCTGCACCTAATAAGCCATCGAAAGGGGGTGCAGGGACCCCCCCCCCCCCGCCCCCGAGTCCGTCAGACAGGGATGGAACGGCGGCCACAACCCTGCGGCTGCCTTGAGGGGCAAGGGGAGCAGCTGCAAGGGAGGGACAGGGGTAATTAATAGAGACGCAGGAGACCCAGGTAGCGAGGGGTCCACCTCCCCCGAAAGCTTTCTTAGGAGGATGGAGTTTGTGAGGAGGGCTATGTCCAAGCCACCGCAACCCCGACTCACCCTCAAGCCCTTTTCTGGCCTGTTGCCCCCTCCAACGCCCCGTTTGCTCAGAGCCCCTCTCCTTCCCCTGGGGCTGTCCGGACCTCGGGGTGCCCGCAGGCCCGGCACCCCCGCCTTAAGCCGCAGCTCCCGTGGCAGCACTTACCCGACCCGCCATCTTCGCGGACACGTCCGGCGTACTTATTCTTTACTTATTTTTGAAACTCCCCTGTCTTATCGGCTTTCAATTCCTCCCTTTAAACTTTTACATGTAGTTGCTTCCTTTTATTGTTTAAATTATTTTTACTTTTAATTTTCACCCTAGATTTATATTAGCTTTTCATTTATTAATGTTTTTATTTTTATGCCATTTTGAGCAGGAGGGCGCTGAGAGACTTGGTGGGTGCGGTAACTCCGTATTTCTTAGAGCCTACGTGCACGCCGGCGGCTTTCTCCAGGGCTCCTCTCGCGAGTCTCAGCACAGCTGGCCGTTGGCACAGCACTTTGCAGAGAGGCCTGAGTCACCGAGCCCTTGCTTTCCTCTTTGCCAGCTGCCCTTTGCCCTTTCATAGCCTTTAGCTTGAATCTTCCGGAAAGACCCACTGACATGTGCAAATGTACAGTAAGAGCACCCTGGGCGAGGACTGCCCTGCCGCAAGGAAGATCAGTCACGAGTGGTGGTTCCGAGTTCAAGTTCTGCGTGACTCCAGGCTTTTCTCTGTAGGCGTCCTTGCTTTCCTCGCTCCTGGGAGTTGGCATTTATGTTTAGCTTATGTGTAGCATGGAAAACTAAAGTTAATATTGTATTCTAATTTAAAAGTGAATTATGACTATTTTCATATTTATTAACTATGTTATATTTGTTTTTGTTTATCAAAGTAACTTGTGCCTTTACCAACCTTTGCCATTCCCCAGTGTTCTTTCATTGTAGACAGTGTATGTGGTAGGATTTGAATGTCATATGCCCTAAATTCCACCTTTAAGAACAAACAGCAACAACAAAAACCCTTGAGGTTGTTTCTTTTGTGTAGTTGCATTTCCTCACTGGGATCTCAGAATACATCATCATCAGGATAGATAGTAACAATAGGATCCTGCAAGAAGGCTGTTTCTGCCCAGTAGGTTCCCTGATGCTTTCAGCATTCATAATCTAATAGATTAGTTTTCCCAGGAGTACATGCAATTTAAGAAATACTGCCTGGGAGAGCAATGCCTTGTTGTAATGTACCCCGCGAATCACAGACGGACGCCTCAAGAAGTCAAATTAAAGAGTCACATTTATTGCAATCCGGGACTATGAGGGGCCACTCCCAAATCT